GTAAGTTGAAAAAGCATTTGGGAATTGAGAAAATAGAACGGCTTGCCTTTCCCCGCCTCCCTGCTAAACTGAGGTTATGTTGAAGCCTGAATTAACTCCAAATAAGTTTGATATATCCTTTTGTTTAACTCTTAATTTTTAATTTAAAAATCTGTATTTATAGCTAAGGTTAAAAATATATTTTGCTTTATCAAAATAATTACATAGTTTAAGAAAAGTACTCAAAATAGCAACATTATTAAGTAATTGAAAATGTAAACATTTGTTGGTTTGTTAGTGGACATAGGGACAGAAATACCTTCCACATACCCTTGAGTCACCCACTGAATGGGTGCCATTTCACCAGCTTTATTAAGCCAAGTAACATTCGGTTTTTCTGGACTATGTACTGTTTGGATGTGATACAAACAAACCAAAAACCTCCCAGTTTATGTCCTGTCACTTCTGGACATTGACATCTGCATGAAAGACAGAACCTTTGTGCAGGAAACAGGTGGGTCTGCAGCTGGTCCCAGGGGCTGTTCCCTGTGTGGGCTCCTGCATTCCAGCCCACATCCGTGCATGTGAATGCCTTGACCGGATTTCCAACTGCAGTTTACTGAGCGGTGGGAGAAAATGACACGCTGTGGGCGCTGCCCAAGAAACTCCTGATCTTGGGGATGAGTAGGGGCAGTTCCAGGAACAGTGACTAGTGACGGGGTTACGGAGAGGTTCAGCAGGAGGCAGACAGTGGGCCCGGGGTAAGGCAGTGTGCCAGGAGGAGACCAAGGAAATGTCACAGCACGCTTCAGGGGGTGAGTAACTGGGGTTTGGACCATGCTGTGCTGTCAGAAGGGAGGCCCATTGGGCATCACCAGCTGTGGACGCAGCTGTGGTGGAAGCTCTGAGAGGGCCCAGAGGAGCAGAGGGCACAAGTTAGGAAGGGGTCCTTCCTGTGAGGCCTGAAATGAGCAGTGACTTTTGCTGCACTGTCTTCCTCCATGATCACACGGCCTTACGAGGTAGTGAGCAGTGCGTATAGTTTTAAGGAAGGCTGTGCTAGTCAAGCAGCTGAGGAGAGGAGAGCAGAGCCCCGTCTTTGTCCCCTAGCACAGCCTTGTGGGTGTGCATGCCTGTAAGACACTCTAGCGGTACAGCATGTCTCGGACATCCCATGAGAGAAGTGTGGCTGGAGGTCGGTGGCCCGGCCTTTGTTTGGGCCACGTGTATGATCTTTGTGGAAGTGGAACTGCCTGTTGCAGGGGTGAGGTTTCCCCAGTGGCGCTGGGTAGACGTGTGTGTCTGCTGGTGGTAGTGGCTCCTGGTAAGGCTCAGGGGCAGGTGTGCCCAGTGAAGAGCAGACAGCTGCAGCCTGCAGATAGGAGGTAGTACTTGCTTGTGTCTTCCTCCAGAACCTCTGAGCATGCCAGCCTTGCCCCCTCCAAGAGGGTCCATGCGCAGCTCCGCTGTTCTCCATGGTGAAACAGAGATGGCCATACCTGTTGTACCAAACTCAGTTACAGTGGTCCTTTTACAACATGCTGTCACTTCTGGACAATTGTTGCTGTCCATCTGAGGAATCCAGGAAGGACTGTTGTGGCCATAGGTGTGGCTCCTGAGTCAGGGGACACTGGTGGGCATGCCTGGGGCTGCCACGCGTAGGCCTGGAGAGCTGTTTGTCACTTTGAGCCTCATTCTGTTCAGCTGACCTTCATCTCTGCCTTCCACATTCTGAAGGAGGAACAGTTGCTTCAGGCAGTGCTTTAAGGAGCCCCAGGGCTTTGTTTGTTCTCTGTCCCTGTCCCCTCCAGCCATCCATGTCCTCCCCCCAACCACCTTCCAGCCAAGATGCTGAGTGTCCACCTGCTTCCCAGTAGAGATATGGGTATTGCTGGGCTTTTCTAGAGCCGTTTCCATAAGCTGAGTTGCTCTGGGCACCCACCAGCAGTACAAAGGCTTCTGTTGCTGAGCTTAGTGAGCGTAGGGTTGGACTGGTGCCCGGAGCAGCACCCTGTTCCCCTGAGCCAGGCAGTCCATGTCTCGGGGGAGCTGGGCAGTGAGAACAGTCCTGGCTCCAGTACAGGCCTTGACCCTTCCAGAGCCAGCCCCTCACACGGGCCTAAGCAGTTCACACGCGGGCTCCCCTGAGATGTGAGGGAGATCAGGAGCAGCAGAGCGAGTCCACGAGAGCCAGTCCACTTTGCCTAGTTGCCGTGGTGAGTGCTGGGTCATCTTCGTTAGCTGGAGGATGCCTGGCTGAGAAGCATGAAAGCTCAGGACGCACACAGCTCCGGTGGTCTCCACACAGGGTCCATTCTGCTCCTCCTCCCTCTCCAGTTATGTCCTCTTTCTCTCTTGCCAAACCTCTATGCCTATCACCACCACCGTTCTAGCCTCACCTTCACCTCTTTCTTTCTAACCTGGCCCCCCACCCCAGCACATATATACACTGTGCATGTGTGAGTCCTGCCTACCTTCTGAATACTAAGATCCTCCACTCCTTGCTCCACTGCCCTTTCTTCCCAGGGGAGAGCTTTTCTCCTGCATATGCTTTGTGAGAGAGGGATGTATTCACGTGTTCATGAAGACATGCTACTCAGACCCCAGGAGGCAGGAAGGAGCCGGGAAACTGTGCCAACCTCTGCTGTCCTGCTTGGAGGAACTGCCCCAGTGGTGGAGCCTGCCTACCAGCCCGTTGGCCCCTGTGGGCTCCATTGGCCCCTGTGGACTCCATTCAGCTCCTTAGCCTGCAAGTGGACCCTTCTGTAGCCTGCGCTTTCCTGCCCTACCTTCCTGGCTCCCCTCCGCAGACCTTGGACCTTTACAACAGTGACCCTATGCAATATTTGCCCTTTTGTGACTGAGATATTTCACTCAGCATAATGTCCTCCAGGGTTACCCATTTTGTATAATATTTCTTTAGTTCCTTGTTTTTCAATGCTGCGTAGTATTCCATCGTGTGAATATACCAGAACTTCTCTATCCATTCGTTTGTTGATGGATGAGTGGTTTGTTTCCAGCTCTTTGCTATTGCGAACAAAACCGCAATAAACATGAGTGTGCATATATCTGCTTGGGTGGCAGTTATGGTTTCTTTAGGGTAAATTCCCAGTGGAATTGCTGGGTAAAATGGTATTTCTGTTTGCAACTTTTTGAGAAAGTGCCATACAGCCTTTCATAGTGGTTGCACCATTTTACATCTGACAAAGAACTTGTATCCAAATTACTAAATAGCTCTTGACAATCAGTAATAAGATAAACAACCCAAATAAGAAATTAGTTAAAGATCAATTTGACAAAGAAAATAAAGCAGATGACAGATAAGCATATTTTAATAAAGCAAGGACAAACATCCTTGGTCAGAGAAAAGATAAAAATTAAAATCCCAGGGATTTTAAAACCATACAAACCTACTAGAATGGCTAGAATCACACACACACACACACACACACACACACACACGCGTTGATGAAATTGTGGGCAACTGAAACACATCTTACGCTGATGAAAAGGCAAAATAGTTCAGCCGCTTTGGAAGAAAACAGTTTGGCAGTTGCTTATCAAGTTAAACATACACTTATCTTATGACCCAGCACTGCTGCTTTTAGGTATTTATTCAGGAGAAATAAAAACATGTCCATAAGACCTGTGTGCAAATATTTATTGGCTGTATTTATAATAGCTCAAAATGGGAAACAGCTCTAATGTTCTAAACTGGTGAATGGGTCCACAAACTCTGGTACATCTACATAGTGGAAAACTGGTTATGTACCATCGAGTCGATTATAACTCGTAGCAACCCTTTGAGCAGCGGCTCTGAACCTTGCTTTATCATGTGCCATCCCCACAATCTCTGACAGGCTCGAGCCCACTGTTACAGCCACTGTGTCAGTCAGCCTTGATGAAGGCCTTCCTTTCTTTCTCTGACCCTCCACCTTTCCTAGCGTGATGTCCTTTTCCCAGGACCTGTCCCTCCTGACAGCATACCCAAAGAATGTAAGATGTACTTTTCACCTTCTTCCCTCTAAGGACCACTCTGGTTGTACTTCTTCCGAGACAGGGTGGTTTGTTCTGCTGGCTGTCCATGGATATTCAATACTCTTCTCCGGTACCACAATCAAAGGCTGTCAAATCCAAGTTCAGTAGGCAGTTTGCCAGACTACCGACTCAAGTCCAGAGAACCAGAGATGATGAGTCAAATGTAGGATCCAGTTCTAGCAAAAAGTTATTGGCTTTGCCGGGTGTGTGTGTGTGTGTGTGTGTGTGTGTGTGTGTCTTAAGGCAGGCCATACCCCTAACAGGATCAGGAAGTGTCCTATCTTGATTACAGTGGTAATTATGTAATGCACACAATTTCAAAAATTAATTGAACTCTTATGTGCATTTCAAAAAGGAAAAAAATTTTTTTCATATAAGTTTTTTTTTAAAATTTTATTATTTTCTCTGTTCATGTACCGTCAAATTGGATCTGACTGGTACAGGAGGAAATGGCTCCTCCTTCTCTGGCAAAGCATCTGGTGGATTCGAACCACATATCTCTGGGATTGCAGTGCAGCTTCTTGCAACTAGGCCACCAGAGCTCCCCAAAAGTCATGGATGGGACACTTGCACATTGCTAGACTCAAAGTGTTTCATATAAGTTTTCTCTCAATTAGAAACCCCACTTTCGGAGACAGGAACGCTTCAAAGTTCAGTCCAAGCCCCCTCATCTCCTTCATTCAGCCTTCCCCAACCCCCTGCTTGTCAGCATACCTTCTGATGAGCCCTTCCAGATTACCAAAAGTTCTGATGCCTATTAAGTTGCTTGGGATTGTCTCCTTGTGGGGCTGCCGCAGCTTCCTAGGAGTGGTGGCCTGCTGGACCCTTGCCCCCCAGGCACAGGTCCACATCTGGCCTTGTAGGAATGAGAGCTGAGGCGGCAGCAGGCAGCCTTGTACTGCAGCTGAGGGGAGAGACTGATACGTGATGACCGCCTTTTATCTAGTTGCTCTGCTCAATCCTCTGCTTCTCTCTCTCTGTAGGTTGGGACAAGCATTCCTATGGTTACCATGGCGACGACGGGCATTCCTTCTGCTCCTCAGGAACCGGCCAACCCTACGGGCCCACATTTACCACAGGTGATGTGATCGGCTGCTGCGTCAACCTCATCAATGGCACCTGCTTCTACACCAAGAATGGCCACAGCCTAGGTGGGTGCATAACAAGACCTTGGGGGTCTGCTTTGTGGAGCCTCGTTAGTTGGTGGAAGCCAAGGGCAGACCTTGAAGCCAGAGAAGTGTCATAGGCCTTCACTGAGCCCTAGAGGGACTCCCAGCCATTTCCAGATAACAGGACAAGGATGGGTGAGACATGCCCTTTGCTGCACCAGTGGAATCCAGGGTTGGTGCTGAGTGCAGCATTGCCCTGGTTGTGATCTTGGCATCTGTGGCTTTCACTAGAGTAGGATTTGAGGTTGGATTAAAAGGAGGATGGTTGAGAAGATAGTGGTTTGCATGCCTGTCACTCTAACAACAAGTGAAACACCAGTAAGGGCAGCAGTAGTACAGGAGGGAAGTGGACAGATCCAGCCAGGTCTCCTGTGGCCTCTTCGGGTTTACTGGGCAAGATAGTGTTCCTGTAAAAAGTGTCCTTGGTGAAACTAGGCAAGGGCTTGGGGAAGGAAGGGGGAAGGTAGCCTAGAGTCAGACAACGGTGTTAGGCCCAGGAAGCAGAGAACATACCCCTAGAAGCCCGCATGTGAGTCAGCAGGTCGTGCTGTCAGGCAGGATACACTGGCAGGTAGAAATAATCATTCCTGAGATTGTCATCTTGAGATACTGTAAACCAGAACTATCCCTTGAAGTCACGTTTAGCACAGTGAGTAGTTGGCTCATAAAGTAAAAAAAAAATAATACGTAAGTAGTGTGCTCAAAATTCACCAATATGAGATCAAGTGATAACAGTTCTCTAAAGCAAAGGTGAGGTGGATGGTAAGGGGGCAGGGAAGCCAGAGTGTAGAAACGGATCCATCAACGTGGACCAAGTGAGGCTCTGGATATTGTGTGAAATGTAACCAACGCAACCACTGATCATTTGTGTAGAAATCGTTAAATAGGAACCTAATTTACACTGGAAACGCTCATCAAAATGATACTAAAATTTTAATTAAAAAAATAGAGTGAGGGGAGAACTTGGTTAGTCGCTCCGTTAACCAGGATAAGGAACTCAGGAGATCAGTGGGCAATGTTGAAGGGCTTGTAGAATTCCTTGGAGGAGCAGTTTTATCCACATGTGGAAATCGAGAATTGGAAGAGAGGTGAGCTACTCTGATGGTTTTGCTCCACAAGGAGATGCCTGATTTTCGATCTCTCAAGTGAGAGGCGGCCTTGGCTAAAATAACCACAAGGTGAAGCCCAAGTGCTGGGCCCTGCCTACCTGCCTGGGTCCCTAGAGGTCTCTAAACCCTGACATGGCCATACCCTAGTTCTCCCCAAATGGTGCAGTGAGAAGAGGGGTAGCAGAGCCCAACCAGCCAGGCTGACCACAGACCTCATCAAGACACAGAGCTGGGCATTTTGCCTAGAACCAGATCCTAGGAGGCCCACTTACCTTGGCTTGAAGGGCTGTCAAAAGATGGGTACCTTTCCCCATAAGTCCTTCTGTGGCTTTTCTAGGAGATGAGTGCAGCTAGAATTAGGGGCCTTTAATCAAGGAGAATCAAGTTTGATTCTTCCTGGGGTCCCCAGGGCCTCATGATTGAGTTGCCCAGGACCAGCAGGGTGATTGATTGGCTCAGTCCAGAGTGGACAGATAAGCCTGAGGCTGGGGAATGACAGCATAGCACCGGCCTCCAAGCCTGTCCAGGGCCACGTCTGGAGAACAATTGTCTGGAAATGGGTGGCTTCCTAGTGGCAGTTGTTGATACCCAGCTGCTGAAGGTCTAGTTGCTGAATGTTAGGACTGAGGTCTCAAAGTGGTTTCTTACCCCATAGCTGTTCTTCGAGTTCACCTCTTTTTCTTTCACCCACTGTCAGACTCCCAGGGCCAACATTGTGGGCTCAGACCATTACCCCTACACCTGCCCCTCCAACCTGTATACCTGCATCCTTCCACCCCTCCATCTTACTCAGAGATCCATCCTGTTGTGTGATATGCAGGCTTTGAGGTAGAGCTTGCTGGCCCTGCTGCAATCCAGCTTCTGACTCTGAGCTCTGGTGTCGCCTAGGACTGCCAAGGACCACCAAGGGACCATCAGCTCATCTTATTCAGGTCCTCAGCCCTGGGGCCTTGATATCTCAGGCCAGATCTTCAGGTTTTAAAAAAAATTTATCTCCCCAGATCCTTCCTTATTCCCTCCAAAGACCTCACACATCTTGTAGTTAAACTTCCCTTTTACTAGCATGTTGCCTATTTTCCCAGCTTGTCAAGGTCTCCTATAGTTTTGCTCATTTTATCTAAAATATTTTGTATCCTTTTCAGTGTTTTATTAACCTAAAGTTGGTAAACATGCTTGTGGTATGTGTGTTTTTATATCAAACATTGATAAAAATTTTGGAAGAGATTAGATTTTAGCCTTTAGATTAGAAGAAATTAGATTTTAAATTTTGCCTTAGAGACCTTTTTTTGCACTTTTTTCTTGTTTTTTTTTCACCAGTTTATTTACAAAATTCTAATACAAATTTGAACAAATTCTTTCAGTTTCCCTCACCCCTCCACCCATCAAATTGTATAACCCAATTTCCTTTAGATTTTAACCTTTCTTTTGCAGATAGACACCAGGCCTTTAAGAATTACTCTGTCATGTCCGCTTCAAACTCATGTTATTCCATCGCCCCATAATATTAAGACCTTGTGCAAAGAGGAGTATGGCCTGTGCCCTTGGCATTTTCTACCTGATAGAAGTCAGTGGTCTGGTAAAAGAGGTGCTGAAACTGAGCAACAGGCCATGACCTGCTGTCCCCTCCGCTGGCCGTCTTCGTGTGATCTGCTTCCCAGCCTCACCTGGGACATGCCTGCCTCTGGTCCTGCTTCTGTCCTTTGTGCCATCACTCTTTGCCCCGTGTGCTTGTGTCATTGCTAGTTGGCTGCCATCCCTCAACGGTGTTGGAAGCACTTTGAGGCCTAGGCTTGCAGCTGTTTTCTTTTTTAGTGTCTGCCACAGGACCTGGCTCAGCAGCTGCTTCTGAAAGGATGTGTGAAAGGAGGCAGGAGGCTGCATGTCCTCCATGGTGCCCAGACACTTGCAGAGTCATTGTTACGCGGCACTGTCCTCCCGCGTGACCCCTGACCTGTGTCTCTAGTCCAGGGTGCCCCTTATCAGCAAGTTTGGGTATCCTGTTTCCATCTTGGCTCTTTGCCTGGCCCTTCCTCCTGTGGGCCAACTCAGGTATCACAGGCACAATGGCCTTGTGCACTTGGCCCTTGGTTCCAGGGCAGTAGGATAGAACAGCCTCTTTCCTCAGCCTCTTGGAAGCACCTCAAGGCCTTGTCCTTCCTAAATGCAGTGGCGAGACTTCTGAACAAGCCCAAGTGTGTCCTCCTCAGCCCAGAAGTTTGGCAGTTGTCCCAGCCTATTGGACAACTGCAGCCGGCTTGTAACTGGACTTCATGTCTTATGAAGTAGTGTTCACAGTGTAGTATCTCACGTTCTCCTTTCTTCCTTGGAGATAGAGATTAATGTTATCCATATTTTAGATGACACTAAGGCTCAGCGTGGTGACTTGTTGAAGGTCACACTGCAGATAAGTATTGTTGCCTGGACTCCCTGCCTTCCAGGGTTCTGTGGGTCCCCTCCTAGAGCCGAGGACCACAGTGGCATGCTGCCAGGCTGTGATCCATAGACCAGCTCCCATGCAGAACTCGAGAGAGGACAGTGAGTCTTCTGATGGCTGCAGTCCAGTCAGCTCAGCGAGCATGGACTACACATGGGGCTTAGAAGTGGTCTCAGACAGGCAGGCCATGGGGTTCTGAACTTCCCTCACTGACCAGCAGAGCAGCTCAACAGAGGATGTAAATCTCTGTGCCTTCAGTTTCTCATGTATAAACTGGAGTTGGAAATAGTACCTCTTCCCCATCATTGTTCTAGGATGAAATAATCTGTTGTGAAACAGCTAGCCCAGCACCCAGCCCAGAGCAAGCATATGCACTAGCTGGCTGGCATGTGTCTGGCCCCAGACTCTTGGCTGGGAGCTTCTAGAAGTTTTTAAGAATGGAAAGGCTTGGGGAGCTCTGGTGGCCTAGTGGCCTAGTGGCAAGGAGCTGCAACTACAATCCCAGAGGCGCACGGTTCGAATCCACCAGATGCTCTGCCAGGGAAGGAGGGACAATGTCCTCCTGTACCAGTCAGATCTGATTTGACGGTACATGCACACAAAAATAATAAAATAAAAAAAAAACAAAACTAAAAAAAAAAAAAGAATGGAAGGGCTTATGAGCCCTAGGGAGGGTCTCTGTGGTTCAGAGCTCATTTTCAATCTGCTCAACGTGGAGTGTCCTGGTAGATACTTTCTGTGGGGGCTTCCTTCCCTCTCCACTTACCTTCTCCCCTTTAGGGAGCTCTACTGGCCTAGTGGTAAGGCGTGAATGCCGAGTGGGTTCTGACTTGGTAGCGCAGAACAAGAACTCTTACCTTCAGTTCAGGCCTGAGGTCCCTGACATCCCTGGCCATGCAGCCCCTTTTTCTTGGTGGGAGGGATCTGAGGTAACCAGCTGGTACTAGCCCAGCCTTGCATCTTGGAGCCTCTGAGGACCCCGAATGGGTGTGTGCTGGATCCAGGCGGCTTCCATGCCCCGTCTCCACGTCATCAGCTAAGAGATGATGCACGAGCATCAGGTCACGAGTGAAACCAGCCCTGCTCTTTTTGCCTGTTTATAACTCCTTGCAAATCATCTAACCTCAGATGCTTCCTTTCCTCATCTGTAAGATGAAGATTAATGTGCTGTCCTCAGAGGTGGTAAGAGAAATGAAGGAGGTGATATCTGGAAAGGGCCTGGCATACATCATAAATCGCCACGCATGGTGGGTCAGGAAAACGAGCGAGCCTGAAGGAGCCTTGGGTTTGACATTTGGCTTGAGTCCAATACAAGCTTTCCAAGCATGGACGGAAGAACTATGGACAAGACCCACCCATCGGACTGCACTTCCAGCCAGGCCCTCTGGGAGAGGCTTGGCCATTGCCTCCACCACGGGCCACCGAGGAGTAGGGTAGGAACCACAGTGGCCGGCCTGCCCCTTTGTCCTGACCGCTGTTGCTTTCCCTCCACAGGTATAGCCTTCACAGACCTCCCGGTAAGTACTGCTTGTAGCTCTCCCCCTTCTAGCTGTTGGGGACTTCAGGGAAGGGGGACATGTGCTGCGTCTGCAGGGTGTGGAGTCTGGCCCTTTCCCCACCCACGAATGTACGCTGTGCTGTCAGCTTGAGTGGGCAGGGCTCCCTGCTGGCCCTCCCCTCCCCAGCTTCAAGGCCTGCTCATCCTCCACGACTTGTAGCAGGTGACAGTAATTTGTGGCATTTCCAAAGGCAGCTGGGGGCTGGTGGGAGGTGGGAGGGGGCAGCTCCCTAGCTGCTCAGCTGGTCTGAGCCAGCTCCGTGTGGCTTACAGCCAGTGGACTGGGGTGCACAGTGTGGAGAATATCCATCAGAGATCCCTGAGGAGAGCCAGTGTCCTGGGGGATGGAGCCTGCCCCCCCTCAGGGTACCCCCGAGCCAGAGAGGTGAGCTTCGTGGGCTTTTCTCTTCTTGGAAAAGGGTGTTTGCTCCTGACTCTGTTCAGAGCTTGTTTCTGCCTCTAGCCAATTCCTGCCACCTGCACCCCAGCCCTTCATTGTTAGGGGACATGCAGGGTCCTTGGCAGGACCCTGGGAGCCTTGCCGAGCTCTGCGTATCCTGGCTGTGTTCTGGAAGGAGGGAAAGCTTACTGCCTCTGGGGACTGTTTTGAGATCCTGAACAAAATGCCCTAATGATCTTCTGAACCTCAGACTGCACCCTGGAGGTTCTATTGCGTCTTCTGGTCTAAGGGTCAGACCTTATATCCTGCTGGGGACCAACTTCACAGAGGGGCTGGGGTCCTCAGCGAACACACAGGAATTCCCACTCTGGCTCCATGTCGAGGTCCAGTGTAATACAGCCACATACTATGAAGCATGTAGCTGCCCTGGGTTTGTAATGCCCTAGGTAACATTGTCACGGCAGTGACAATCTTGGAAGGCTGGCTGGAGAAGGTGGGCTTTGCCAGAGGCATGGAGGTAGATTGGGCTGTGGGAGGGGAAGGAAGGAGGTGAGAGGTCTTGGGGTCATAGCTCACGGTGGGCTGATCCCAGTGTACGGGAAAGGTACAGGACTCCTCAGAGATGACACAGTGTAGGAGCCCTAGGAAGATAGTGCAGTGTGACAGTGGGAGGAGGTTAGTAAGACCCCACCCAGGAGCCACAGGAGACACTGAATGAGTAAATGACCCTGGCACAAGCTGCTATGGCGTACCAAAAGGTAGATGGTGAGCAGGGCCCCACATCCAGAGGAGGCCATTCCACTCACCTCCCTGGCCACCAGATCCTCCTCTGAGTCCTGATAGGAAGGCCCTCGTCAGGGAGTCCATATCCCCTACCCTCTTCCTTTGCCATGGTCTCTTCCCCCTCTCCTTTCCTGTCCAGTCCCCTCCCTTCCTGCCCCTTCACACACATTTTTTTTTTCGCGAAGGGATCCTTTGTCCTGGCTCTCTCTGAGAGGAGCCCCAGTCCACGCTCACAGCAGATCTTCCTGGTATTACCTGCAGGGCTGTGGAGTCTGGCTGGCCTCTGTGTGCATTGTTTTGGTTTTAGAGAAGGACTTAGGGCTTTGGGAACATGATGGGCTCTGGTGCAGGCCAGGGGATGCCTCATGTTGAGGCCAGCTTGCTTTCCTGATGTTTTCTGCTCTAAGGTTTAGAGGTGTGATTCCTCCAGATGGGGGACGAGGGGTGGGGGCAGAGTGTCTGCCTTCTCCGTCTGGTCTTAGGGGTTAGGTTCTTCCCTGCCCAGCCCTGGACAGAAGGTGAGGTTCTGCTGCCTTTTTGTCATGACTGACATTTCACTCTCCTCTTCAGGCCAACCTGTACCCCACTGTAGGCCTGCAGACACCTGGGGAGATCGTGGATGCCAACTTCGGGCAGCAGCCCTTCCTGTTTGACATTGAGGACTACATGCGGGAGTGGCGTGCCAAGGTCCAGGGTACTGTCCATTGCTTCCCCATCAGTGCCCGGCTTGGCGAGTGGCAGGCAGTGCTGCAAAAGTGAGTGCCCGCTCCCCGCCCCTGCTCCTCGACCTGCTTGAGGGTCCTCTCCTGTGGGCCCCCGCCGGGCTGCAGGCTGATTCTATACACTCCAGTGTTAGCTGACATTTCTCCCACAGAGTGCACCTCGGGTAACTCGGCCTGATGATCTCCTGCCCCCCTCTGGGCGTCTCCCACTCACTTCTCCAGCTCTGCTTCTAAAATCTTTGCCCCTCAACCAGACTGGAAGGGTCCAGGTGTAACATCACCAGGAGTGTTGCTTTCCTTCTGCTGGTCACTTTGCAGAAACAACAGAATTCATTGGTTCTCGAGGCTAGCTGTCTGCAGCCAGGGTATTGGCAGTGTCCTGTGCCTCTCTAGTTTTTGGTGATAGCTGGAAATCTTGTAATCTCTGCCTTGTCACATTGGCGTACTCGCTGTGTATCTCTATGTTTCTGTGTCTCTTCTCCTCTTTCAGGCACTCCAGTCACAGTGGATTAGAACTGACTCTAATCCAATGTGACTTCGTGTTAACTGATAATCAGTAGCATTCTAATGGCATTGTTCCTAGAGTTTTGTTGCTGATCCAAGGTGGTGCATCTCTGGCAGTTAGAATCAGCTCTAAGGAAGATTGATAGACAGTCTCCTCTTGTGTAATTTATAGCCTCCTAAAGCCTATTGGTGGGTCAGCTCGAAATCAGTACTAATTTGATGGCTATGAAAGATAAGAGAATTGCAAGAATATTGGAATGTTAACTGATTATCACTGTGACCTCATGTTAACGAAGTAATAACATTTGCAAAGAAAGACCTTATTTCCAAAGAAGGTCACATTCACAGATACCAGAGGTTAGGACTCACCTTATCTTTGGTGGGGACACAATTCAACCCATAGTAGGTACCCTGCGGTCTCTTTCTCTGTGGATGTTTTTTCCCTGCTGCAAGAGAATCTGTGATGTCAGGACTCTGCCCTCAGCACCTCTCAGGTCAGCATCCCACAAAGTTCAATGTTTCCATGGTAGCAAGCATTCATGCAAGCAGAATCCTCCTTAGGACCAGCCTCACTGGTCCTTAGCTGTTTGATTCCCAAGATGATCTGAACCCAGTGCTGCTGACGCTCCCACGGGAACCTGGGTTTGGGTCACTGCCACTTGCTGGCTGCTGATCTGAGTGAGGTGGTCACCAGTATCCACTTTCCCAGGAGCTGAGTGGAGCTTGATTTGCAGGTGTAGGGAAAGGCCGTGCTTTTCGTATCATTGGACACTGCTCTGCAGTGACACCTAAGTGAGAGAGTTTCTTGGGGTGGGGTTGGGACGCCCACTGGGTTTTTGTACTGCCTTCCATTCTTTTTTTTTTATTATTTTGTGTATGTGTGTCTGTGTACCGTCAGATCAGATCTGACTGGTACAGGAGGAGATTGTCCCTCCTTTCCCGGCAGAGCATCTGGTGGATTCGAACCGTGCACCTCTGGGATTGTAGTTGCAGCTCCTTGCCACTAAGCCACCAGAGCTCCCCTTGCCTTCCATTCTTGACAGATCTGAGGCTGGCTGCAGGGAAGGGCTGAGGCAGGGGATACACCGCTAGACCCTCCACAGGCGGGCAGCAGATATGCCAGAGTCGCCCTTGTTCCCAGCACTGATGAGAAGCATCTTAAAGTGCCAGGAGCGTGCCCATGAGCTTGCTAAGACAGGCAAGGGGAGAGGTGCCAGGTGCCCAGGCTGCACGGGGGAGGGACTTAGCACTTGGCCCACGGGGCCTGAGGCTCAGCACACTCTAGGCTTGTCCTCATGTCTGTGTCTCCATGTGCCCATGAGATCCCTTGGTCAGCTTCCTTCTGTGGAGAGGTCAGTTTATTTCTGCTCTATTGTTATGTAGGTAACCTTTTTGTATTTTTTTTTCCTTCTTACTTTTTACCAAGTACTTCATACATATATTCGAATAATGTATAATTGACAATTTTAATGTTATCAGACACACATACAAAGGCTAAATTACACATTCACGCCTGTGCACAGCATCTGTGAAAGCACATCCTTCTGCTTGGCCCGTGTTGGCTGGAATTACATGGCGACTGGGCCTGGGATTTCTCCCAGCGGTGGGCACTGTGTTTGCCCCCTCGTGGCAAAGTTAACATGATAGTCTAACTTCTTGGGCCCCCGCTCTGTGGCATATGATGAAGGAACTTGGGTCATGGGTGGCTCCCTGTCACCTTCCAGAACCAGTACTGAGGGGCCGATTGGCTGACGAACCAAAACACTGCTGCCAGGATGCTGGGTCCAGAGGCCCTCGGTGAGGCCACAGGCCACCTTTGTGACAGCTGCAGTGCCCAGTGAGAGAGCACGTGTCTGAGGAGATGATGTGTCTTTATTAAGTGTACTGTCATCCATCCTACGTGTCCACATGTGGGCAGCCACTCCTCCAGTCTGGAAACCTAGATGTGACCAGCCCCTCTGATGAGACTGCATGAACACCTTGGGGAGCCATTGCACTATTTCAGGTCTTCTCATTCACTGGATGTGTTTGGGGAGGGGATCCCAGATGTACTACCGGCCTCATCAGGTGATTAGTGCAGTTCTTTGTTGTTGTGATTTTATTTTATTGATATTTTAATGAAAGTTTACAGAAGACTTGGATTTCCATTCATTCATTGTTGCACATTTTGCTCCCTACCCTACACCAGGTTGCTTTTCTCTTTAAAAAGATTCTTTCATTGTTGCACAGTTTCCTCCCTGCCCCCCTCCCGAGAAGTGCTGTTCTTGAGTGTCACCTTGAGCTCTTCCTTTCTTCTAGCATGGTCTCATCTTACCTGGTGCATCATGGGTACTGTGCCACAGCCACGGCTTTTGCCCGAATGACTGAAACCCCGATTCAGGAGGAACAGGCGTCCATAAAGAACAGACAAAGTAAGGTTGAGTCTCCTCTCCTGTTTTCCTCCCTCCACTGTCCCTAACTTTCTGGCACATGTTAGCCCTAGTTAACTTGTCAGGAGTCCATTTAGTTGTGGTCCTTACCACCCTGGAGATAGCCCTAGGCTAGGCCGTCCTCAACCCTGTTCCTGTCCTCCCTTCAAAGCAACATTGCCCAGATGGACATGAACAGTCCAGAAACATGGAGCCTCTTGGTGCAGCCGCCCTCACTTACACTCTGATGGGTGCGTGCAGGCTGGGCCCTGGTGTGGCTGGGTCCTGCTCTCCACGCCGTGTCCTTCCCCCTGAGTCCTGGATTCCGCCCAGCCTCCTGTTCATGGAAAGACTATTTGCATATTATCACACCAACACCCTGCCTCTCCCACCTTTACTCAGCCTCAGTTGTACTGCTTTCTCTTGCCAAAGAGAGGACTGAGGAGGGAAGTGGGGTAAGCCGCTGTTCTGTGGCTACTCCCACAGTGCTCGATGGCTGTTGCTGCCTTTTGCAGATGACCTAGAGTCCTTCCTCAGCATCTTGGCCAAAGGGAGCTTTCCTGGTGTATGTACTGTTTGGGGTCTCATTTGTGGAAGGAGGGGTGTTGGGAAAGAGGAAAAAGAGACTGGAAAGGAGGTAGGAGAGTGAAGGAGAGAGAGAGAGAGAGAGAGAGAGAGAGAGAGAGTGTGTGTGTGTGTGTGTGTGTGTGTGTGTGTGTGTACATGCACTCATTCATAAGAGCATGTCTGGGGGTGCCTGCTGCGTGACTGAGCCTGTTGTCTCTGTGTATGTGCATGTGTCTGTGTCTCCCAGAGAAGCTGTACTCAGACGGAAAGACGGAAATAGGTCCCGGACTTGGGACCTTCAAATGAGAAAGCGTCAGACCAAGAAGCCTCTCCAAGCACAACGCGTCAAGCCTCAGGGCAAGTGAAAGAAAGAACAGCCAGATGCTGATGGCCCAAGCAAGAGGTGTCAGCATGGGGAGGAGGGCCTCCTCCGCCAGCAGGGAGCACGCTGCAGGCTCTGAAGACCACCCTAGACCTGAGTCCCAATCCGGAAACTGCTATGTTTCTACTGCCCTTTGCCTGAGAGGCTGGGAAAGAGCTGTCTGTCTGAAGAAGAACCCTTGGGGCCACCAAGCTGCCTGGGCGCCCACCCGCAGATGACTGTTCCAAGACCAGAGTCCCTCCTCCCAGGCTCTTGGCGACCCACACCCCACCAGAGCTGATCTCCTCTCCCAACTTGCCTTCCTGCCTCTGCACTGAGATTTCTCTTCCCATTTTCCCCTCTTCTTGAGGCTCCCTGAAACTTGGCGGGAATCAAGGACTATTACATGCCTGGACATGCTTCCTTCAGCCTCTCCCGTGGGCACCTTAGCCCATTTGCTTGGTCCGTGTGACTGGTTGATCCCGGCTCCCAGTTCGTGGTGCAGGACGTTGTCTCTGAGGTTGACGGCCCCTTGTTCATTGCTGTGTTCTTGCTCTCTGCAGAGATCCAGAAGCTGGTGCTAGAGGGCCGTGTTGGGGAGGCCATCGAGACCACACAACACTTTTACCCAGGGCTGCTGGAGCACAACCCCAACCTGCTCTTCATGCTTAAGTAAGTCTTAGGCCCCACAGCTCTCCAAAGCTCAGCCCTGCTGCTCGTGGTGGAAGCACAGTCCCGGGCCGAGCCCAGAGCATTGCCGCTCTGCTCCTCCTGCAGGTGCCGGCAGTTTGTGGAGATGGTGAACGGGACGGACAGTGAGGTCCGCAGCTTGAGTTCTCGAAGCCCCAAGTCCCAGGACAGCTACCCTGATTCCCCCAGCCTCAGCCCCCGCCATGGCCCCAGTAGTTCCCACATGCACAACACAGGTCAGCCGCTCTCCAGAGAGCTCTGGGAAGAACTGGTGTGGAGAGGAAAGCCCACTCCACATACCTTTCCCTCAGCTGGGTTCAGGGCTTGCTGCTGGCTTGGGGAAGGGAGATGGGGCCACTGGTCTTTGCTGGGCCCCTGCTTGATGGCAAGCTGCCCTCCCTTCGTCTTCTGACTGTTCCCTGGTTTTCAGGAGCAGATAGTCCCAGCTGCAGTAATGGCGTCGCATCTACCAAGAGCAAACAGAACCACAGTAAATACCCTGCACCCAGCTCTTCCTCCTCCTCCTCATCCTCCTCGTCTTCCTCCTCCCCGTCCTCTGTCAATTACTCTGAATCCAACTCAACAGACTCCACCAAGTCCCAGCCCCACAGCAGCACCAGTAACCAGGAGACCAGGTGCCTAGCTTGCTCTAATTCCTTCTCCCTGCCTTCCACTCTGGGTCAGTCTGGCCCACTGTCGTCTCTCTAAGTGTCATCACTTACCCTTCACCCCCAGCCTCTATCCCAGCTCTGTCCCTGAGTTCTAGCTATTGAGCTGCCATTGGCTCCAGTTCTTGTCCCTGCCCTCGACTGGGCTGTTGCTTTCCTTGGCCTTAGCTTTCCCAGAAGTGCTGCCATTGCCATGCTGAGAATGTGGTCTCCTCCATGAAGGCCAGGCCTACTCAGAAGGAATTGTCATTGGGCCTGGCTGTGGAAAGTCAGACAGGGCATGCAGGGGTCTAGGTTACAGACTGCAACATTAGGTGGCTTTCAGCAGTCCCCCCAATATGCCTCCGAGCTGACCTGGGCTTGGCTTACCCCAAATAGAGACCAGTTGTTGTCCCTTTGGTCTGGGCATTGTGCGTGGAAGGGGTATGCCAACTCAGAGGTGAGCCAGGGAAAGAATGGTCAGACAATAGTGGGACTAGAGTGGGAATCAAATGACAGATCTGTGTCACAGCAGGGGCTCAGGGAATACTTGCCAAGTGTTAGGTCGTGGGAAGCCTGGTCTGTCCTTTCATGTTCTTGGGGACCCTTGGTTTATCTAACAAAATCTGTGGCTAATGCTTGAATGGAGGTCCAAGCAGGCTGTTCCAACCACTTCCCTTTGGCCAACTGCCACCTCATCCCTTCTCCACAGTGACAGTGAGATGGAGATGGAGGCGGAACATTACCCCAACGGTGTCTTGGAGAGCATGTCCACACGTATCGTCAATGGCACTTACAAGCATGAGGACCTGCAGACAGATGAGTCCAGCATGGGTAAGGGACTCAGCATGATCTTCCAATGGGAGAGCAGTGCTCAGTCTGGGCATCCTGAGCCCTCTAGGATGCGACTGGGACAGGCAGGCTTCAGTGGCCTGACAAGCTTTAGCCAGACCTGGTCCACTATCTGTTTAGTCACTCTTGGTTGTATTCTTGGGGTGATTTCAGTGTATAAGACAGTTGATGCTAGGGAGCTCTGGTGGCCTTGTGGCAAGAAGCTGCACTGCAATCCCAGAGGTGCATGGTTCAAATCCACCAGATGCGCTGCTGGAGAAAGAGGGACCATCTCCTCATCTACCAGTCAGATCCGATTTGATGGTACACACACACACACAAAAAAAGAAAAGACAGTTGATGCTGCAGGAGGGGTGTGTGTACGATGGGCTTAGCTGTAGATAGTCTCCCTGCTCCTTGCAGCCTGCACCTGCCTGTGGCAGAAGCTGCAGCTCACGCAAGGCACTTAGTGTTCATATTCTCTTTAGGCCTCCTTTCCAGTTTTTCCCTTCTCTCCTCACCCCTCCTGATGTGTTTTCTGGGTGCAGATGATGGGCACCCTCGGCGGCAGCTCTGTGGAGGCAACCAGGCTGCCACAGAGAGGATTATTCTGTTTGGCCGTGAGTTGCAGGCCCTGAGTGAGCAGCTGGGCCGAGAGTATGGCAAGAATTTGGCGCACACGGAGATGCTACAGGTACAAGACAAGCCAGGCCCGTCACGTAGCAGTCCTTCCTATACTGGTGGGGACAAGGTGGCTCTGGAGAGCTCTGGGGGTAATGACACTGTGACAGTCAGCCTAGTCAGCCTTGCAGTAGGAAGCCGGGCCCCTGGGATGTACCCTCAGCCCTTTGGGATTTGTGTAGCCTGTGCGACTCTATGGTCCAGCTGGGTCCTGTCACTGGGCACCGTGCAGGGCCCTGACCATGCCGGGGCCCGTGAGGATAAGTGTGCCATGTGTGTCACAGTCCTCACCAGAGTGCCCGCTTTTCAGGATGCCTTCAGCCTGCTGGCATACTCGGACCCCTGGAACTGCCCCGTTGGCCAGCAACTTGATCCCATCCAAAGGGAGCCAGTGTGCGCTGCCCTGAACAGCGCCATTTTAGGTAAGTGGCAAAACGAGCTGGGCCTGAGTTCCTGGGCAGCCCTTTCTCTTCTCCCCTCAGGAGGGCTCTGCCCAGACCCTTCCTGGTGGACCCTAAGATTCCTGGGCTCTCATGGCTGAATCCAGACCCTGACTTCCTCTGCCTAACTGAGATGGCTGACTGGATTGTGATTGGCTTATTTGTCAGCCGCAGGCCTGACCCCCTGACTGCTCTAAAGCATGTCCCTGGCATGGATGCAGGGCTGTGACTTGGTGGCTGGGACCCACACAGACGTTATCAACACTATTCCCCTACCCCCACATCCCTAAGGGAACTTTGACCTGGGCACAAGAGCTGGACAGAATCGTGACAGGCCTTCTCTCCTCCACAGAGTCTCAAAATCTGCCAAAGCAGCCCCCTCTGATGCTCGCCCTGGGCCAGGCCTCTGAATGTCTGCGACTTATGGCCCGAGCGGGCCTAGGATCCTGCTCCTTCGCTAGAGTTGATGACTACTTGCACTAGCTGACCATGTCGGCTGGCTCCACCGGGCTTTCCCTCAGCCCCCGGCTGGAGCAGCCCTGCCCTCCACAGGCACCTGGCACGGGAACCTGGCAGCCCCAGGCAGAGTCCACACGTGCCGCTCCTGCCTGGCCTTCCTCCTCTCCTTCCTGCCTTCCTTCTTTCCCCCTCCTTCAGTCTCTCTCTCCCCTCCACGTGCAGCGGCCTGTGACACAGTATTGACTGGTCACGCTCATGTAGCGCCTTCTCCTCTGAATGGGGCAGGGGGTGGTTTTGAAGGGAGGTTGGGGTTTTTTAGTCTTTTATTTTTTTCCCTCCTGACTGAGCCACCAGTATTTATCTCTGGAGAGTTTGTGCTGAGCTGGTTTCTGCTAATTTAGTGATGAAGCCTATCCAAGTTCGTGATAGCTTATTATTTTCATAATTAAAAAAATGAGATTATATATATATATATATATATATTAAGGAAAAAAAACACAGTATTTATCGTAGTGTTAGTAGCCCAGCACCTCATGGGTGAGGGCTGTCCAGACATCATGTGTTTTTATTCCAGTCCCACTCATTAAAAAAAGAATCCTCTCTGTCACCTCAGCCAAGTGGTTCTTTCTTTTGAGTTTGCCCTTCTCTGAGCCACAGGCCCAGCTGCAGCCTTAGGAAGCCAAGTGGAACTTTGGGACAGGAGCCTAGTGGGGAGGGTCAGGCTAAGCTGGTTTGTAGCATCCCCTGAGGTGTGGGGTCTGGGCCGCTGAGAGCTGATCTAAGAGAACTGTAAGGCTGGGTGTCCAGGGAAGTGACACTGGCCCAGGGCCACAGAGCAAAGCAAGGGAGGAAAGGGTCTTTGGCCAGCACGCTGTCCCCTATTCCACCCTGCCTCTCACTGCCTGTTTCTGTTCCTTTTTCTCTTCTCCTTTTTTTTTTTAAAAAAAAATCCAGCTTTTTCTTGTTAAGATGGCCAAATAGTTAATTTACTCTAAGTTGATTGCCTGGAAACTACCTGCCTTTGACCCAAGAGTTGCTGTGTCAGACTGTGAGGAAGAGAAGTCTCCATTCCTGGGACAAGGTCTTTGAGCACAGGGATGGTTTTTTTCTACCTGGATCCTTTCCATCTCCACACAGTCAAATGGATTTGATGCTTTTCTGAGTGCCAGTCCCACGTAGAAGCAGATTCTTGGGTTGGCCAATTGTTGGAGCAATGAATCCACGAGCCCTGTGCCAGGCCTCACTCCAGTCAGTGTACCACACAGCTCGACCCCAGTCACTCTTCAGGAAAAACTGTCATGAGTATTTGCAGGCCAGAGGAAGACACCATGGGCTTGACACCCACCAGTTGTTCCAGTTGGATCCTCACAGCTATTGTCTGTTACCATCAGGAATCAGAAGAGCAAGCAAGGGTTGCCCGGACTCAGTGGGCCATCTGTGGAGAGGGCTGGCCGCCCAGGAGGAGGGTGGGAGAGGACCCACCCAGAGGAGTACCACGAGGGCCTGGAACTTCCCTGCATGCCTCACAGGGCTTGAGGAGAGCACAGGCAGCCTCCTGCATGTAGGAGGGTCAGCCATGGCAAGGCCAGAAGTTGAACGTGCAGACCTACCTGGACATGGGCTGTGCAAAGTCTTGCTCCATATTGGTGGACACAGGAAGGGTTGGTACAGACTGAGATGGTCAATACCCAGGCGTTGTCAGGTCTGCAGCTGGACAAGAAAGTTGACTGAGTTGGACCAACTGCTGGAGATGGGGTAGGGGCCTGGCTCTCTCACAGATCTGCCTTGGAAGTGACTATGGGGTGCCTCTTTTCCTTGGTCCCTGCCAGGGCTGTAACTGAACAGCCTGTCCTTTTAGGAGGTGTTAACCTGTCTGTAAAGGAGATTCATCTTCTGCAAGGCTGGAAATGCCTCACTACCAAACCCAGCGAGAGGAAACATCAGGTCGATAAAATGATTATAGCCTAGCAGGACTGGGAAACAAAGCCAAAGTCTATTTGCAGTGGGAACAGAATTCAGAGAACATCTTTTCCTCCAGTCCTTTCCTTTTACAGATAGGGAAACAGGTCCAAGAGAATGGTCTGGCCAAAGTTACATAGCAAATTAGTGGCAGAGCTGGGACTCGCCCTATCCCTGCCACTTGGGCAACATTGTTTGGCCCTGAAGTTGAATGGTGGGTGAGCCTGTGTGAGGGGTTAGATTGGCTTGGCCTCCAGCAACAGCTGAGCAGGGGTGTGCCAAGGGTGGGGATGAGTGCCTGGGCTTAGCTTGTGGAGTAGCCGAGAATGACCCAGGGGGGTTCAGGACAGCTGTGTGCTGCATGGGGTTTGGTGTCCGCCTGGCTCGCACTCAGTACCGTGGCCACCTCCCCATTTTCTGTGCCTTATCTCACTGTTTCTGCTGAGTCCAAGTTGTTTACTCTGTTCCTCTCCAGAGGGGCTCTCTGTCCCAGCTGGACAGCTCACCTTTGAGATATAAGCCTTTGCCTCACAAACTGTGGAGAGGGCTAAAACCAAGCTGCTTGAGCCCACTATCTTGTTGAAATGCAGGTTCACCTGCTAGTCAGGGGTGCCCCAGTCCTACTCATGCTTTTGGAAGCCGAATGGGGAGGACGCCTGGGAGGAGCCCCTGTGTAGGGCTGGGGCTGGCTCTGTGTGGCTCTCTGGTCCTGGGAGAGCAGCCTTCCCTACTTCGTTTCCCCTTTGCGCCTCCAAATGGTTGCTTCTTCCAGGATAGAAACTGTTAGATCACTCAAAGAAAACCAGAACCCCTGATATCCTCCACTCCCATGTGTCTGTGGCTGGGTGTAGGCTCTCGGAACAGGAGCATCACAAGACAGAAGATGGGTCTACCCAGCCACCCAGCGCCTTCCCACCCTTAAGCAAGCACAAAGAAGAGGAGGCAGAGAACTGCTGGAGCTGTAAGTTCCTTTGGTTGCTCATAACTCAGGTATGCACATTGGGTGGCAGCCGAGCAGCAGAGCCCTACTTGACCGCCAGTCCTGGATACCCAGACTTGGGCCAGACTGTAGCCTTTGGCTGCCTCAGGCACCCACCCGCCTCTTGCATAGAGTTTCCCTCCATTAGCAATCACAGCTAACAGACGTCCTCCACATTGTGCACACTGGCTCTTCCTTTGTCCTCGCAAGTTGTTAATTGGCATTAGCATGAAACTTGTGGGCGCGGGAGGCTTTAGAGAGAATTCTAACACAAACATCCTATTAAAATTGTACTTGAGAGAGGAAAAAACTCTTGTTGTATTTTGACAGAATTATTTTTATTAAAATACACATCCATGAGCAGTCACACGTGTCCGCTCTCTGTTTTGAATCTGTCTGGACTCCTTTGTCGTTTGCCTTCCCGTCTTCAGCCATCTCCCCTGGAGTCCCTTCTCTGGAACCTTTGAAATGTCAGGTATTCGCAAGACTCCAATGATGAAAAGCACTTAGTTTTAGTTCTCTCATGAAACAGCTTTCATCAGAGTGGGGTGGGGGAAGACAAGTTCTACTTCAGAAAGATGGGCTGCAAGACTGCCTCACCTCAAAATAAGATTTTTAAGTGTAACTTCCAAGTACACACACCACCAACAGTTGGAAAGAGCTCTTCTAAGCAGTATTGAAATTAGCTCCCTGCCTCTTTTTGAGAAGAGCGAGCTTGTGCTCAAAATACTGATGGGTGCTCTTTGGTAACTGAGTGACCTGGACAAATTAACCTCCCTGAGCCTCAGATTCCCCACTGTTAAAAGATGGTTAAGTTTTCTACCCCTTAGAGGTGTATGACAGTGCTTGACCGTGGATGCCTATGTGAACATCCTCCCTCTCTTACGGCTGTCCTCCCTCCTCCTTTCCTCCCATCCTGGGCACCGGGGTTTTATGCAGAGGAGAGACACACAGCATGGTCACCTAGAAGGAACACTGGAAACAAACCTGTTAGGAAGTCACTGCTATGGGCCAGAGGCGAGAGGGCAGGTGTGAGAAATATTTAAGAGGTAAATGGAGGCCCTGACGGTACAGAGGATAGAGCAGTCAATTACTAACGAAAAGATTCGTTGTTTAAACCCTTAAAGTTTTTTAACATTTCTGGGAGAAATGTGGCAGTCTAGTCTGTCTGCTGCTGTAAAGAGGTACAGCCTTGGAAACCATGCAAGCTTGCTGAGTAGAAACTGACGGCAGCGGGTTGTTTTTTAAAATGTTGGCACCACCAGATGAGTGAGTGACTGAGGGGTGGGGCAAGCTGGAGATAGGGCAAACGCAGGCTTCTGGCTTGGGTGATTGATGGCGTCCCAAGGCGAGCAAATGTCACGAACAAAGAGCAGATGGTAGCAGAGTCACTGGAGTGGGTACATTTGCTTGGAGAGTTCATAGAAGCGGAACTCAGGAAAACTCATAGTGGACATGTCTAGCTAGTTAAAAGCTCTGCTAAAATTTTTTAATTATCATTACTATTATTTGTGCGTATACTGTCAAATCAGATCTGACTGGTACAGGAGATGATTGTCCCTCCTTCTCCAGCAGAGCATCTGGTGGATTCGAACCATGCACCTCTAAAAAGAATTTTATTTTAAAAAAAGAAAAAGCTCTGCTAATCCTGTCATAAGATGTATGGTTTATCCCAGTACTTTGTCAAACTTAAAAAAATGCATCATTTTGGCATCTTCCCTCATAAGGAAAAGCTAATGTGGAGCAAAAAGTGAGCTAGTAAGCACGAATGGACATCCTAGTTCTAGAAGTAAAGCTAGAGGAGATTCTTTTCCCTCTAGACTAGTGGTTCTGAGTCTGAGAGCGATTTCCCACTGGAGGATTTTTTGCAATGTCTGGCAAGATGTTGGTTATCACAAATGGAGTGGGGGTGCTCTGGCATCTATTGGAGAGAAACCAGAGATGCTGCACATCCTCCAACAAAGAATTATTAGGCCAAAAGTTCAGTAGCACTAGGAGGGTTTGTTTTTTTTGGTTTTGTTTTTTTTTTTTTTTTTACTAGGAGGGTTTTGAACTGTGGAACTTGGAACAATGACTAAAACAGAAAGCAGATCAACCCAAGAGCATATTGACTCTGCCTTCTTTCTGTCCAAGACCCAAGAAGGAAAAGAACGGGATGAAATTCCTGTAGAAGAGAAGGGTAAAAGATTCCAATTCCTCATTCTGGGAGCTTTTCATACTAATGAAAGTGGTGGAAGTCCTGAAGCAGGGGGCTCACACTCTCTCCAGGAGAATTAGAGAAGCAGGGAGAAATGTGTTTTTTCCCCATGCAAAAATAACTGTTCTTTAAAACTCACGGATGAAAAGCCCAATCACATTTCCAACAGCCATTTTC